ACATTGAAATCCATATTCACACATATTCTTCGTATTGTGTTTCTTTTTGTCTTCCTTTCATCCTTTCTATGCAGTGTTTCACTAGAATCTCTAAATTCTCCTCTTTTATAGCTTCATCTGCCTCTCTGCTATTCAATATTCATGCAAAAGACACTGTACAATATAATACTTACAAAGCCTTCTGAGTAGCACACGCCAAAATCAATCACTGAAACTGTTATGTATTTGTTTTGTCGTCCCTAAACTTGTTTAAACAATCCCTTCTCCTAAACACTTTTTTCGAGTGTTGTATTGTAACAGCAAAAGATAAGACACAGAAGGCAAATGATCAAACCACTGTATAGTTTATATTTTTTTAAACAGCCACAGAGCTTGTTATTTTTGGTTTGCATTTAACAACGTGAAATAGAATGTTCAAATACACATATAGCATTCTGTTGCAACTGCTTTATTGAAATGTGGTGGGAATATGTGAGAATAAGACTCCATTGGAACACATTTTCTGTATCACACCACCACAGTATAAGTGCATTTATGTTTTTTCTGCATTGTATGTGATCTTAAGGAACGTTTCAACTTGTACCGATGCAAATCTATGCGAACTTCTAATTGAAATTATGAGTTATCTATTTAACTAACTATAGCATTAAACTAGATACTGTTAATTTACATTTTTTGCTTGAAATTTTTAAACTGTAAAATTAAAAGGCAAGCTAGTATACCATTCAGCCACTGAGACCCGATTCAATGGCCCATCATTGGTAGAAGTTAGAAATTATGGGCTGGACATTGAATCAGGTTCCAGTAATTGGATAGTATATGAGCTTACCAACCTTGTAACCGGAAGGTCCTGGATTAGAACCATGGTGGTGGGTGCATACTGCCGATGATTCCCAAACTAGGCTAAGGAAACAGCTGTCCAGTACTCCATGTTTGTTTTCAACGGTTCTATAACTGATGTCAATCCGTGATCAAGTCGTAAAAACAAAACTAATTCTTACAAATCAACTGTAGAAGAATAATCAGATACTGAATTGTTAGCTACCAAGTTTTAATGTGGCAAATGTAGATTTTTTATACTTGTATGGGTCAGTAAATAATGTGCTACCTGAGGTAGTCGTATTCTCTGAGGTTTGTGGTTTAGTTGAGAAGTTTTCAGTGTCGTTCCGGATGGAATCTTCGCTGCGGATTTCAGTATGAAAAGGACTTATTTCAATTCTCCATCAATGATCAAATTGGCTCATTTTGTAGTTTTTTTCCTTCACGTTCCCACTGGAACATAGGGCTTCAAGCTAGTGACTTGAAGTTTCTGTAGCAGTGTTTAATTTTTACAGGATGGGGTTGCTAGCCACATGCCCAACCTTTCCTCTTTGCCAGCATTATTTCTGGCTCAGCGAGGTAAAGGAGTGCGTTGGCGGCCGGGGATCGAACCCCGAACCATGTGCATGGTCGGCAAGTGTCCTAACCGCTATGCCACCGACGCACATTTTGTATTAGTTTCGGTAAATTTCAATAATACTTATACATCTGATAATCGCTGATTCGTCTTGTGGTGAGGTCTGGCTGCTAGCCAAAATTGGTAGATAGTAATTTACGTCAATGTGCACGTCCCCAATATTGGTCATGAGAAAAACAAGAACAAAGACTGACTCAACAACCAGTCACAGCAGACTCTGCGTAGGCGGATACAATCTGCAGATAGATAATCTAAACTTCAATAAATGACCACAAAGAGATGAAAGATTAACGTTCAACTAGAAACCACCAATCAGAAGACTGTGTTTGTTTGCTTACAATAATCTATAATAATGTGCATGAAAATCTTTAAATATCTGTTGACTGCGTAAATAAACGATGTGTTGCCTGGCCTGGTCTTCCGTTGTCACAATCTGAGCACCAGTCTTCTAGATATCCCTTGGCAGTATTTGTGTTTCCTCTGCTTAAAATTTCTCTACATTTTCTTAATCAAAATGATTATCCGTAGTTGTCTACATGCATTGTGCGTACATTTTGACAGCTAGTTTATCTTTGTGAACTTTAAGTCGAAGGAGATGCCCACTTTAATCAATCATTTAGTGCTTATCACAATTCAAGAAATTTATTTTCTAAACGGTAATAGATCTTGTTTTCTTTTACTGTTGGTTCTTTTATTGGTATGCATCATATTGAATGTTATGATTGTGTTGGATTTCCTGCCATATTTGTTTCAAATGGTTTGATTATTCTAGCTCAGATTTCAGTAGTATTCTTTATCTATGGTTAGATGAATTTTTTTGTGATTTTTGAGGATATTTCCTTGCTGGTATTTTGATTTTATTTTAACATGTTTTAATGAAATTTTAATGCGGGGCATCCATTGTTCCGGAAAACAGTAAATATTCTTTACAGGACATGGATGTCACTGCTTAGATTAACCCTCTTGATTAATGTTTATACATTTCCCAATTGTGTGTCATTGGGTTATTGCTGTTTTATAGTCGAGTATAGTCGAGGTCTGTCTGTCTGTGTGTGTGTGTTGATTTTTAGTATACTTGTGTTTCTCAATTTCTTGTTTCCGTTCCCTTCACTAAGACATCTAAGAAAGGAATTATGCTGGAGGACTCTTCTTTTCTTCTGAGTTCAATGTCTTCTAGTATGTTGTTCATTAATCTATGAGTTTACTCTAAGTCACTTCAGCATTATAGATGGAACTTATCAACTAATAAAGTATATTACTAGAGAGAAGACTAGTAGTTTGGCTATACAGTCGCAAATATATATGGTTATTTTGTATGTGTGTGTGTTCATTATATTTGTGAAATGAAAATACATTTAGTAAGCTTTTCGTGGAGTTACGTAATACAAAAAGCGTTCAGAGCAGTTGGATGTTGATATAAGAGGAGTAGTAACAAAAGTGATGAGTTGTCACAAATAATTGTTAAGGAAGATTTTCGTAATAACATGAAGAGTTTGATGAAAGACTTGTCCTCAGGGTAATCATGGAAACAAAATAAAATATAAAATTACGAAGGAGTTTTAGAGGAATACAAGAGTTTGGGGTAGGTAGAAAAAACAAACAAACAAGCGAAAGTTAAGTCAGGGTAAACACAGTCGTCACCATGATAGCAGAAGTGGTTGAATAATTTACTTTTGTATAACTTCATGCATTTATTCCCCTTGATAAATTTGAATAAAGCGAGAACAACATTGATTTGTGCAGAATAACATGGTACCATCATTTATTTCGTTGGCTTCTCGTCAGCTGCTTACAGCCTAAATAAATTTTCAGGTTTAAGTACAGAAACGTTTTAACGTACTTGCAAATTTTACATGTTGACAGAAAGTTTCACAACTAGTAAACAGTGCTCAGAAAATTGCAAGTACGTTAAAACGTTTCTGTACTTAAACCTGAAAATTTATTTAGGCTGTGAGCAGCTGACGAGAAGCCAACGAAATAAATGATGGTACCATGTTATTCTGCACAAATCAATGTTGTTCTCGCTTTATTCAAATTACTTTTGTATGCTTGGCTGTAAAGGGAATCCCGAGAAAATATATTGCACTGATTAAGGCACTCTACTCGTACTCATACAGCCAGGTGAGGGCTTACGGCGAGCTGTCATCTGAACTGGTGACGACTAGTGGTGTCCGTCAAGGATGCCCATTATCCCCTTTTCTATTCAACTTCATCATAGATGTACTAATGGACTTAACCCTAACTCACTTCAGAGACACAGGGATTGACTTGCTACCGGGGAATAATCTCGTTGACTTGGAATATGCAGACGATACAGTCCTTCTAGGCGAGGACGCTGACAAAATGCAGAGTCTTCTGAATACCTTGAGCTGCAATCTACGAATATTTGGCATGCGATTCGCTCCTGGTGTGAAATGTAAGATGATGCTACAGTACTGGACTGTATTGACTCCTAGCTAGCGGCGGTCAAACAAAAACTTGGCACCAGTCAATGAAATCCACAACAGTTGGTCTAAGCCACGTAGGAAGGTGTAGACTGGCTTCCTGGTTGGGGTCTTCGGGACGGTAAAAATCTATGGTTGGAAACAATTGGTGACATGGCTCAAAATCGTTCTCAGTGGCTGGCGCAGATGCATCCACTCCTTGTGACTTATGATTTCCAATGAAAATGTTTTGTTTTTCTTTATTACTCCTTTGTCTCACACCTCTGCTCACTGTTTCGATTATGCTTTTCTTGTACTTTCTTCTCTTGCTTCGCGTGCTATACGGAGTGTGGCGACTTGAACTTCCGCACATTTGTGCAAAGTTCTACGTCGAAAACAGACAGACAGACTTTTGTATGCATAGTTCTGGTTCTTTTAACTGAATGGCTAGGGTTTCTGCGATGCGAGGGAGACAGAAACGTATTGACTTTGACAGGTTGTTCTTCACTTTGTAGATTACTTTGAAGGAGGAGGCGTTTTTGGTTGAGTTGGAATGACCAGTGGTGTCGAAATGTTCGATGATTGCACTCCTTATACGACCACTACTTCCTTTCTGCAGTCACAATGGATAGTGTTCTTTGACTCTTTTTGACAGGATTCACGTCGAACGACCGATGTACCTGGCTCCACAGAAACAGGTGAACTGATGTATACACAGAGAAGTTGTCAGATGCTAGATCTTGTCCTTCGGGCTTCTGCAGATCGGCGGGTGACTGGAGAACACTACTCTCAGTGTTGCCGCGGAGAAAGTTCCTTTTAAACAAGATGCGATTCTCCTCCTAAGAAAATCACTGAGTCGGTCACCTTTGAAGTGGAGGTTCATATAAAGTATCTTTTTTGGCACGGATGACGTCTCATGCTTTTCGATTTTCTGTTTGATGCTTTTGTCTATAAAATCTTGATGGATGACCGTTTCATATGAAGATTTCTTTCGGGAAATGTGGTTCTTCTTCTAGGGTATCAGCTTCTATGTTTTGTCTTCTGCTGTTACATGTTTACTTAATTATTTAGAGATAAACACCACTGATAACTGTCACTTTATTTTTCATCAATCTTTTTAGGTCATTTGAAAGTGTTATACTTGGGATTAGTTGGAAATGTGTCAAGATTTCTTTATGTGTCATGGATAACAAATCCATGGTGGATTTTACCATTTGAATTTATACAAGGTAGGTCTATTTTTTGCTTGCCTATCTGTGTGTTTGTTCGGTTGGTTAATATCAGAAATATTTTAATCCTGATCACACACACACACACACTATCGATTTGTTAGATCTTGGATCCGTTACAGAATTTGATCATGATCTGATATTGGTTGGAGATCCATTAGAAAACCACCTGGGAGTACTGGACAGCTATTTCATCCTAGTATGGGACTCTTCATCAGCATGCACCCAATCTATTGGGGTTCGAACGCAGGACCTTCTGGTTACAAGGCGAGCTCGTAGACCATTAAGCCACTGGAACCCGATCCAATGGCCAACTGATGAATTCTAACTTCTACCAATTCACAACATTGCTTAACCGCTAGCCAATGTCTTCGGCGAGTATTTGTCCTCACAGACGACCTGCTGCACTCTTCTGGTCACGACTTCCCACTAGAAACCCAGGTAACTACCTACCTGAATAGAGCCAGTCGCTTGTGAGCATGATGAAATCCTGTAACCAATCAACTAAATCCCTACAAACGAATACTTGTAGATCTTGGATCCGTTGAATTTCTTCAATGAACGAAATATTCCCATATTGAGTCATAAGAAAAAGGCGTAAACAGCAAAGAAGAAAATTTTCCCTTTTCAACGATTCATTTTCATAAGCTGCTGTACAGTCGTAATTATATTTAGACAAAGAAATCATAAGACAACCAATCAGATACTGGTAAACTTTGTCCTCGAAAAATGTACTACGTAATGTCAGGTGTAAACTAGGTGGGATGACTAACTGCAAGTTAGAAAAGAGACAGAAGTTGGCATGACGTAATAGGTCCGTGTAGAATCGACAGGAACTGGTGAAAAGACGATAAAATGTTTCTACATAAAATATGTATGGAAAAGCAATGTTATTAGCGAACAATAATACAGTGGTAATAAAATATGGATGATGGGAATAATAATAATAATAAAATAATAGTAGTAATAACACTAATAATGAACCTACATAACAAAAACAGAAAGAAGCAAAATTATAGTAAGAACTTTACTCTGGCCACGGTAGGGCGAATGAGTATATGGAGCACTTTTGAATGCAGAGCTCCTGTATCATATCTCGAATAGCTAATGTAAGTTTACTACACGAGCTTATTGATTAGTCACTATGTCACACTTATTACGTCTTGCAGTGCGTCGGTGGCACAGAGGTTAGGACGCTTGCCTACCATGCATGTAGTCTGGGGTTCCATCCCCGGCCACTGGACACACTCCTTTACCTGGCTAAACCAGTAATAAGACTGGTAAAGAGGAAAGGTTGGGCATGAGGCTATCAACCCCATCCTGTAAAAATAAACACCACTGCTACAGAAACTTTAAGACACTAGCTTGAAGCCCTATGTTCCACTGGGAACGTGAAGGAAAATCTATTAATATTACGTCATGCCAAATTCTGCCTCTTTTCTAACTTACAAATAGTCATCCCTTCTAGGTTACACCTGACATTACGTCGTACATTTTTCGAGGACAAAGTTTACCAGTATCTGATTGGTTGTCTTATGATTTCTTTGTCTAAATATAATTTCGATTTTACAGCAGCTTATGAAAATGAATCGTTGAAAAGGGAAAAGTTTCTTCTTTGCTGTTTACGCCTTTTTCATTTCACTGTAAACTAATGAATTCCATCACGCTAGATAAATGGCAGTATTATTATTATTACCATAGGACACAGCATACAAAATTCTTTTATCCATCTTGTCATGGAACTGTGATTACTAATTCTAAATTAAGATGAAATATTTGAAGTTTGATGGCAACATGATTTTGTTTAGAGAACCGTTGAAAAACAGAGACGGCATTAACGGTGAGGATATATACTCCCCGATGAAATTGAACAGGTGTCGCATTATGGATTGCACATTGGCAGAAGCCCGAGTAGGATCATGGGATATGTACTGCCGAAGAGTCTCGAACTAGGGTAAAACAGCTGTCCAGTGCTCTCTCCTGGTTTTTAATGGTTCTGTAGTAATTTATTGTAATCGTAGTATTAGTATTTCGAGATGACCGAATTCCACGAATCCCAACAAAACACAGAGAGGGCGGAATTCAGGAATTTGTATTTAGCGGAATTATTATGCAATTCATATATGAAACATATCAACAGTCAACAGTAAGTATTTAAACAATACAGAGATAGAAATTGTCAATCACCACATCCGCCACACGTCGAATATCTCCTTGCGTATTTATAAGAATGTCTCGGTTTGCTTGCAAGTAGCTGCGACCTTTTAACTGATTCTGTGATATCATTTGCATCAGTATTATCTGGACTTATTTCTCAATTATCTACAAAATCAGGATTATTAGCGGAATCAATAATATTATAATTGGAACGACCTACTTCATTTATTGTCACTTTGTCCAGGTGTCCGTTATGAACTGAGTGATCTTTGATGTCTAATATCTTCACCACTCGATTTCCCATTTTTTGTAGTATAATTCCAGCAGAAGGTCTATAGTCATTCCCTTTGTAATAATGTACATTAGAAGTCGCGGACATCAAATGCTTTCTGAGAATTCGAGATTTGAAAAGTTTTGCAGGACTTTCACGGGTACTTGTATGCTCTGCATTCGACAGACGCAGTCTTTGCATATGCAGTAATTCCTCCATTTTAATCAGTTGCTCTCTCATCTCATTCAGGTCTTTTCGTGTCTTCGACAGTTCACATTGTAACTCAGCTACCTCATTTTTGAAAACAGTTGACACTTGAGTTGCCGAACTTGTAGTGGAGGTTTTCATTGGATGAGATTGAGTATTTTGAAAAGTTGAAAGACACATTGACTCCATTTTACTAGACAGCTTGGGAGAATTATAAGAATGTTGAGCAACATAAGTATTCGAACTTCTGCAAACCGTCTTGATGTGTCCAACTTTACCACATTTGTGGCACTTAGCACCCCGAAGATGGCAAGTGCTTCGTAGATGTAACTTTCCACAGGATAAACACGGTTTAATGTTTTTGATCTCTCGCTGCATTCTATTACCTGTGGACGACAGTTTGGATTGCTTTCCATGACCACTTGTATTTTCGACTTTAGAAAGCATAACATCAGATACTGACGTAGTGGGAGCAGAGTATTCATTATTGACATCTTCATATGTAATACATAAATCTTTAGCAGTTTGAAAAGTACAAGAAGGAATCTGAATTAACTCTTTCTCTAACTTAGGAATATTGATTCAAGCAATTAGACGATCACGTAGTTGAGTATGCAGCTGATCTCCAAAGTTACACTTTGAAGCTTGTATTTGGAGTTGAAGAATAAAGTCTCTATTCTTTTGGTTGGGAGAACGTACCAGTTTGTTGAAGTGAGCCCTCTCTCTGGTCTCAAATGTAGTTACATGAAAGTGATTTATAAGAAGTTCACGTAGTTTATAATATGGCAGAGAAATAGGTTTATCTGGAAATGACAGAGTCTTTACTAGGCTATATGCATCAAGCCCAATAGTAGTGATGAAATGAGCAGGTATTTTGTCATCCCGAACATTCTTGGAAATGCACCACGCATCGAAGCATTCAAGGTAATCAGCAATCTCCCGCGGAGAACCATTTATAGGAAATTTTCCAAGGTTGTTCAATTCCATCGCGACGCCAATTTGTAGTAATTTATTGTAATCGTAATATTAGTATTTCGAGATGACCGAATTACACGAATCCAACCAAAACACAGAGAGGGCAGAACTCAGGAATTTGTATTTAGCGGAATTATTATGCAATTCATATATGAAACATATCAACAGTCAACAGTAAGTATTTAAACAATACAGAGATAGAAATTTTCATTCACCACAGGTTCTCTAATTGACACCAGTTGGTGATCAGACCTGAAATCAATCAGATGCCTATCAGTCAACACTTGAAGATAAAATATTTGTTTAACAAACCTGAATTTCAAGTGGATATCTAGTCTACAGGCAGCAGTCATGAGTTCTCCCAGTGTAAAGGGTCATGTATTTAAGTTATAGAGTGAAACCTGGAGAAAATAACGTCTGTGTGTATTAAATTGCTAAACGGGTAACCAGTGTGAAGTTATAGAATCCTAAAGGTCAGTAAGTTTATCAAAATAACTATTACCTTCGGAGTATCTCTGACGTGGGATACTAAAAAAGGCTCATAAATTAATTGCAATGAATTCGGTATGCATTAAAATGTAATGTCACTGACATGGGTATCTGCTGTATTGATCGATCATGGACGACAAAGAGCTGTGTGTACAATCGTATATATATATACATATGGTTTTTAAGAAATTATATCCAGTGGGGGAATTAGGTCAAGCGTGTGAATATGTGAAATAATAATAGTAGTAGTATGAAATGCAATTAAAATATTTGTGGTTATAATCATAGTTAAATGTCAAGTGGCAAAATAATTAATGTCTTATATAGAATAATACATAAGGTGTATAGATTTTGGAAAGGCATACATAATTATAAAAGTAGTAGACGAATATGAAATGTTACATAACATGGTGTGAAATTTGATAAGATAGAATTTAATATTGTAAAAATAAAAAATATTAAAATTGATAATTTTGAGTTTAAAATGACAAGTGGGTCAAGTGGAAAAATATTCAGAGTGAGAATAGTAATAATATTCGTAATAATCGTAGTAATAAGGGAAAGGTACATAGAATAACTGAATAAACAAAATAAATAAATATCTTGAAATTCCCCATTTAGTCATATGAAAAAGAGAAGACGTTCAGCGAAGAGACTCTTTTCGGCGAATTCATTTACATAGCTGTACAATCGCATTTATATATAATTATTTGTGTGTGTGTGTGTGTGTGTACATAAGGTTTGTCAAGTTTAGATAATTGATCAGATAATAAAAGAATGATCTGATATGGAATGAAACAAGGTTCATTAGACAGCAACTAAAGTAAGATTGAGTTAGTAAGTTAGATGACGTAATACAATTGACTAAAATGTTTTAACTTAGGTCAGGGTAGCAACAGAG